CAGGTAGGCACCGCTGCGGGGCGCGGCTGGCACGGGGAGCTGTGAATAGCTCGGAGCTGCTAACCCACTCCCTTTGCAATTAATAGCATTTCTGCGTGTCAGCGCCAGGCCATCGCTAACACGGCATGTGCAGGGCACGGGCCAAATGCCTGCTGGTGTCAATCAGAAGAGCAGCGCTGAAGGCAGCGGTGATGGCTCAGGTCTAACCAGGGCTTGCTTAGTCGGGCACCTGGGGCATGCTCTGGCCACAGACAGCTTTACTAGCCCCACGCTGCAGTGGGGGAAAGGAGGTGCAGAGAAACAGGCTTTCCCCAAAGAGCCGAGAAGAGCAGGCTACGGCACTCAGCTGCAGCCCCCTCAGCCTCACAGACATCAACTGCAAAACCATTAGACCACGCTGCCCTTTCGGGTGCTGCTCAGAGCACACTGTAAGCGAGGAAAGCACCGCTCAGCCCAGTTATACCAGCCAGTGGGCACAGCCTCCTTGAATGCAGAGTCCAGGTGCAGAGAACAGCGAAACTCATTGCAGTTGTTGCATATGATGTTATGCCAAGGTAGATGTGCCCATGGCCTGCACAGTCACACTGTGGTCAGGACGAACAGTCTGCTCTCTGCCCCACACCAACAAGGTGCAAAGGTGCCCAGCAGCCCAGTGTGGCTCTGGGTGCCCGACCTGCTGCACCTGGTCCTGCTCTGTGTTTTGGAAGGGGAAAGAGAAAATTCCCCCTTGTCCTTGGCACTGTTTCCCAGCTCTGATCCCCCAACCTCCCCCTGGAAAAGCAGGCATTTCCAGAGAAGCCCTAAGAGGGCAGCAGAGGGGGTGGGCTGCTTCCCTAGGTTTTCCCATGGGATGCCTTGGCCAGGAGCAGGGATTTCCCCAGCCCAACAGCCTGAAGGGCCTTTCCCAGGCTGCGGCCAGCCCAGGGGCTTGGTGCTCCCAACAAGCACCCTCCACGACCCGGACCAGGCAAAGGTGGTTAAAAGACTCAAATCTGCCTCTTATTTGATGTAAGACCAAGGCATGCAAAGGGAACCTGCAGGCCACATGTTACCAGGAGGGTATCTGATCTGCTTTAAAAAAATCCCAGCTTGGGCTCAGAGGACTCGTTGCCACAAGGTGCATTGCTGGTCCCATCCGGGAGGGTTTAAACTGGCTAAGTATGGGCTCTGCCGCTTGGTGCCGGGGAGCTGAGCACCCGCCCCGGTGCATGGAGGGCTCCCACGGGCTGCAGGTCTCAGCACTGCGCCCGGCCCAAGCGCGGAGGCTGCTCGGTGCTGGATCAGGTCCCGGGGCTGCAGGCCAAACACTTGATCTGGGGGAACCTCGATGGGAAACTACTGTGACGGCAATAAAAATGTTCTCGGAAGAAACTCGATTACATAACAGCCCTTGCCTCGAAACACCCAGCTACATGAGCACGCTGACGCGCTCCTGTTGCAGATGGCGTTTATTCGGGGCACTGCTGCCACCCTTGTCCTGCGGGTACCAGTGCCAAGGGGTTACCGGGGGCCGGGAGGCCCCCCCCAAATTACAGACAGGTCCTCTCCAAACCAAGGCTTGAGAGTCTTCCTCCCACGCCGGGCTTATTCAGCAGCT